TTGGTACAGTTTAGGTATACAATACAGTATATTCATCATTGGGATCTTGTACCTCATAATGCACATTTTAAAATAATTTTAAGTAATATTGTAACATCAAATGTGCAACTTTCCAACATGACTATATTGGAAAACTAAGATGAAAATATATTATTTACTTTAAAAATCAGATGGATCGCTTTATAATTGCTGGTTTTAGGACTGTTTTTGCTAAAAGCTTAAGAATTTAGACTAGATTTTTAGCTTAATTATAAAAAAATGAAATCAATGGAAAGGCAGCATTAACTATTATTTAAATCACAATAATTCATCTAAAACTTTGTTGGATTTGAAGATAACAAATAGCATTAAAAATAATACATCAGCCCCAATTACCAATCCTGGGAAAGTCTTCCTCAATCCACAAAAAAAGATAAAATAACTTGAAATTGATTGCATGGCAGAGACTCTTGCTAGCCATAAGTGAAAGGATGAGTTAGTTGTGATGTGCTCTGCATTTTCCACATACTATTGAAAATTTGTTTCATTAGATCAAAGGCTGGCAAATTATGACAAACTAAATCTGCTGCCATTCTGTTTATTTAGCTGGAATAATCATCAGTTGGTCCTCTGTGGAACATATTATATCTCTCACTTTTAATTAAACCAGCAGTGCCAAAGATGAATTTCATTCACTCATAAACTCAGCCACTGTCAGTTAACAGAATTTTTATTAGAAACAGAAGTTGAGTATCCTACTTGCTCTATCACAAAGCAGTTCAATGGCTTAGGGGCAGTAAAATCTTATGTCTCCTTCATACTTATGATCAATATACATTTTTTTCTGAATGAGCTGTACTCAATCATTATTACTGAACAGTGAAGCTCCAGTAGTAAGTTTTGCTTGCAGAATTAAGAATGTTGGTTAATGGACTGAGCCAAAACTATAATACCAAAAAACCCCACAGTTCTTATATACTTCAATAAAGTCATTTTGATGATAACTTAAGATTACTGAATGGCAAGTAAAACCAAGTGGCTTTATATGCTCTGAAGATTTTTTTCAGTTTTAAAACTTTGAAAAGTTAAACTAAGAGGCAACATTTGTATTTCCACATAAAATTTACAAGGGATATAAATTTGGTGGGGTGGTACCAGGGATTGAACTCGGGTCTTTGCGCTTGCATGGTAGGCCAACAAACCACTGAGCTAAATCCCCGGCCCCAAGGGATATAATTTTTAAAGATCCAATCACAGGTCCAGCAATGTTTTTAGACCTTGATGAGAGAGAGAAAAGGAAATTTTCATATTTCAAATTCCATTTAATTGCACAACTGAGGTGCTTTCCTATAGCCTTCAATTGGAAGTGATTAGTCTATAAAGCAATGACATTTAAAAGGGGAACATTAACCAAAACCTAACAGAACTCTATTAGTGCCTTCTAAGTGATGAGCATGCTCAATTAAAATAATGCCTCCTAAATATCATTATTTGATATTCCACTGCATAAAAACATTCTCTAGGGGCCAGGGATTCAGCTCAATGGTGCCACCACCTGCTTTGCAAGTGGAAGGACTCGAGTTCAATCACTGGTACCAAAACCAAAACCAAAACCAAAACCAACAAAAAAACATTCTCTATGACATGCATAAACAAAATCTCTTTACAAATAAACAGTAACAAATGAACATCTGTTATCAATTTTGAATGAAACACTAACTTTGAACCCTAATTAAGTTAAATGTTATCCCTTTAAAAAAGAATGTTGTTCTCACTAGTTTGTATTGTAAAAAAATTAATCAATTATAGTCTTAATTTCAATAATAAAACATTATAGAAATTTTTTTCTTTCCTATGATAAAAGTATGTACATAATATTCTCATTTTTTTCTCTTAACCAAAAGTCTAAAATTTTACTAACTGGTCCTTTACAGAAAAAGTTTTTGGGTCCTTGAATTAGATGTGTTCCTAATATTGTGACATATAGGAATTGCAAAATTATAGTAAAGGTCTAACAGCAAATTATTGTTCTAACAGAAATAAAATGCTTACTTTACCTTCATCGCTGATGTCATGTATGACCTAAAAAAGTAAATAATTTATAATTTATCTTTTCTGCTATAAACAATTAAAATTGGTATCAAAATGGCACTGTATTTAATACATAGAAATTTAACTTTTAGTTATTAACTACTTAGTGACATTAACCAGTATAGATGCTTAATACAGTGGGACTAGACTAATCCAAACAAGTCTACTTAATCTATTATTAACTCAAGTTTCAAGAAAGGGAGAACAAAAATTGTTTTCCAAATAAACACATGCTTTATAATATCAGTTAATGTGATTTTTACCATAAAAAGATCAAATAAGTCTTCTATCATATTTATAGCAGCTTCATCTTTTGAATTTCCTTGACTTAGAATAATCTCCTTGGATTTTTCAAACCAGACAACCATGTAAGAAAAAAAAGAAATGTAAATACTTATTACTTTAAATTCATTTTAATAATTTTAAGATTTACTTATCTATATTTGTATAGATGGTAAACCTAAGAACAAAGAGATGTTAAAAGTAAAAATGTCAATATTGTATCACAATAAATTTTTACTTTTTGAGATCTTTCTTGTTTTTGTTTTTGGGTTAACATATATTTTCTCATGTTTAAGACAAAAAGGATAAAATTAATCTTAATTCCAGGTAGAGGACCCTTATTTCCCCCTTCAAATTTGTAATGTTAGTATATCACAGATGAAAACAAATTACCATTACAATTTAATTATTCTGGTATCCTTACTATTTGAAAAGTTTAAATATTATTTCACCTTAATCAATTAATTCAAATATGTGAATACTGTATACCAGACTCTTCTAGGTACCAATTATATAGCAATGAATAAAAAGACAAAAAAAATCAATATCCTGTATTTTATCATAGTAGACACCTGATTAAGAAGAACTAAAGAGAAACCAAAGCCAAGTAAAGGCCTAACAAAGTCTTGTGACCTTAAGTTCACAAGAGCTCATATAATATACATGGAGCTCATATAATATACAAAATTTCCTTGTGATCTTTGTCTTTGTAACATACAACAAAAATTATAAAAAATATTTATTCTATTATCCACATTTTATATAAAGTCACCAAATTTACTTTTAACACTTCAGCATTTTTGTTTTAACAGAAAATTTTATCTTTAATCATGTTTTCTTTGCGTGGGTATGTTATATATTCTATACTTATCTTCTGGACTAGTCCTTGTTTTATCATGGTTAAAAGTCCAGGCTGTCCTAATATGCTGATATTTTTGCCACATTTTCCAACAGAAACCAAAATTGTTGAAATAGTCTGAATATCCTTTTTATTAAGTTCCTGAAATGAAAAGTAGGCACTTAAATTTCTGCAAATCTCAAATAGTATGAAATAAATACCGAACTAGGAGTATTATACACATAAGAAATCTTAGATTCCTCACAATCCAGAAGAGTGGCATTATCATCGTTTCTATACTGCAAAAGATGAAAACGTGGTTCAAAAGAGCAATTTCCCCAAAACCACACAGCCAGGGAATGACAAACTCAGGGCAAAGTGAAGATCTGCATGAATTCAAGAAACTTAAGACTATGATAAAATGAATCAAATACTTTTAATTCCAAAAAGTTCCATGTATTCTAATACTAATGAATCCGAGAAACTTTAAGACATCACAAATCTTGGGTACTGGGGCAAACTGACTATAGTCATCTTCTCTGAAATGTGAAAACCCCATTATAAGTGAAATCAACTTCATGGTTGGATGATTTTTTGAAAATTTGCTCTCTTTGAAAGCACCAAAAATTATCTGTATCATACATCCAGAATATACTGAAAGGTTTTAAAATACAGATCAAGATTTTAGACTTCAAATACATAAACTTTTACCCCCAGTTAACACTATTTAATAATGGTCACTCTGGAAGGCTCAGGCAGAAAGATTGAAAGTTGGAGCCCAACCAAGTAGAATTGTGACTTAGCAAGACCTATTCTCAAACAAAAATAAAGGCCGGGAATGTAGTTCTGTGCAAAGACCCTGAGTTCAATCCCCAGCACTACAAAATAAAAATAAATATTTATGTAATTATAAGTGAGCTTATACAAGCCTTTCCATTCATTTTTCTAATAGAATACTTCTTTTATTTATTTATTTTTGGTACCAGGGATTGAACTTGGGACCTTGTGCTTGTGAGGCAGGTGGTGGCACCACTGAGCTAAATCCCCAGCCCTAGAATACTTCTTTCTAGAAAGAAAATTCTAATATTTTAACAACCATTCAGTAAAAATGAATTATTTACCCGGCATATAAGGTCATCCAACTTGTGGAAAAACTGTTTGCTGCATCTAATCTTCACATCTTCACAAATACCAATTTGTAAAAGTGTTTTCAGAGGTTTGAAATCATTTTTCCTTAATGCATCATCAATGCATTTTTCCAACTGCTAGAGAAATAGTTAATAGCACATATATTGAATCAAAACCAAAACTGGTTACATTACACAATGTGGGAATTATTTTCACATGAAAACTCTCAAGCCAGCTCACAAAATATTAATTCACTTTATATTTTAAAAATCCACTATTAAATTTGGAATAATTGAGTTAGAAATTAAGTTTCTTTGATAAGAAAATTTTAGGAAAAATTATTAAGATTTCTAGTTCATATTTTTATTGCTAAAGTCATCATTATGTCAAACACCACAAAAACGTGAAGTAAAATTAACTTTATAATACTATTTATATTACTTAATACCATAGATAAAATCCCAGAATATCTAACTACCAATTTAAGGAGATTAAAATAGTAAAGAAAATTGCATAGACAGGACAAAGCACTTTATAAAAATGATATCAACCAATACAACTTAAACATTACCATTACATAATAGTTATAACTTTTACAAAACCTGCCATCCTGGGTATTAAAGTAAAACTTCAGTAATAAAGAATTTTCAGACTATAATTAGATCACTGAATGAATTCAATGGTGAACTCAGACATGTTAAACAGATACTTAAAAACTTAAGCCATTATCTAAATGTAAGTATTTTACTATTTTAAATTGAAATAAAAAAATCAATGCATAAATCTTTTAATGTAAAAGATTTGTAGATCCAGGTATCTTTAATACTATTTTTAATATAGTTCTTGAAATCATATTTATTGAATATATTGTATTTTAATTTAAGCTATTTAGCCATTTTATAAAAACATGTGATCTTTGTCATTGCTTTTATGCACTGTGACTACGCAAAAGGAAAAATACAGCTGGGGATTTAGCTCAGTGGTTCCACTGCCTGCCTTGCACGCACAAGGAGCTGAGTTTGATCCCCAGTACCAAAAACAAAAAACAAAACAAAACAAAACAAAAAAGCTAAAATCTTGGTTTGTAAGCACAATTTATTCTGGAAACGTACTTGTAACCCAGAGCATTTGTATATCAAAGCAAATTTCTCTATAAGAAATAATGGAAACTGAGATGATTCATTCTACAACCACAAAATATTCATATGAAAATGATTACAATACTGTAATATAAATCAAAACAATAAAATACAATATATAAAAGAAAAATAAAATTAACCTGCACTTACCTTTGAAAACCTTGTGTTGAGTGTGAAGGAGACAGAGAGAGGAAGGGTTATTACAATGATTTTTCACTGTCACTAATGGAATCACTGCTATTTATTGGCTCAGTTTTTCCATTTTATTGCAACTTTAATAAAGAACCTATCCAATGATACTTGCTTTTTTGTCTCTTAAGGATTTTGCAGAAATGTGTCATTGCACTGTCATTAAAAAGGGTGGTATTTTTCTACAAAATTTTGCACTGATTCCCACATTTTACACATCTCCTTGAACTCTTTTGAAGTGAGGGATTTCTTCTTGTCTGCACAGGAGATCTCCACCATAAGCTCTGGCTGTTGGGAGATACTCACCCAAAATCCCACAGTTTGAGGGCAACCACTGGCTCAGCTGTGATCATATGATATCATATATTACTTGTACAGTATTGTAAGATATTGCTCATTTATCAAGTTAAAATTTATTAGAAATGCTTACTCATCTTGCAGAACACTTGAAGAACAAGTTACTAGCAATCCAAGGTTTTGCTGTAATTACTTCTGGTCTAGAACTACATACCTGGAGATCTGGTCTTACTGGCATTTTGTTTTCACATAAAAACAGCAGAACAACACCTATAAAAGAAAACATTTTTAAAAATTTGCAATCTGTCCCATGTATTTACAGTTTAAAAATTTTAACCATTGACAACCATTTAAAACCATTTCTGACCACATCAAATGCAAAAATATTGCTTAGGTTTCTCATTGGATATTTTTCATACCTGTTTATCAAATTAGACAAATAACCAAACATATCTAGAAAATCACTAAGATCACTTACTAATCAAGCACTCTCTTTGTACAGATCACTTAAAATGAAAAATTCTGCAAAAAGGTGACAAGGCTATTAGTGAAAGAACACAAACCTATACCTCCCTCTCACCAATGATTCCTGCTATACTTGTTTGATACCTTTGGGAAAAAGAAGAAAAGCATGCTTGAATTAATGTCTGAATCATTTAGACTATTAAAAATATTCAAGAAGAAAAGCATATGCAAATACATGAACAAAACTAGAATCAAGTAGAACAGATATGCAAGGAGTGAGGAAGATAACCTAAACACATTTTCTATGTATAAGAGAATATTTCTGGATAAATGGTCAAATAAAGGGAAGGGTATCACTTTCCCAAAGTGACGGGGGTCCCTTAAGACAACAGGAGATATATAGATACATATACACATGTGTGTGTATGTATGTATGTATATATATATATATATATATATACACAGACACACACACACATATATATATACACATATGTGTGTATCTCCATCACTAATTAATATATTGTAATATAGCTTGTAACAGGAAAGAATCCCTCAGGTTCTAAAGAGAGATTCAAATGCTCCTGAAGAGAGGTCCTAAAATAGATGAAGTTACTTCAAAGAAACCTATTCAGCGTGCTTCTGAGAAGAGTAATGACAAAAGTCATTTATTTTCTGTGACATGCACATTTAAGGGGTATTATTGTTGCAATGAAGACTAAATCATTGCTATAGCCATAATCAAAATCCTATATGCCATTTCAGTTTGTAGAACATCTAGAAGTATTCTATATTTTATAGAAAAAGTATCAAAGATCATTGTGAAATCAACCTTGTGTGAGAGTATTATTAATAATTATACTTTTTAATACGTCAGTTTAAAAATTAAGGAATTAAAAAAATCTTATATATTTGTGTCTAGATACCTAAGAAACACTTGCTAGTATCTTCAATATAATAAACATTTTTTTCTTATATAAGCTTATTTTTCCCTTCAAAAGAGAATGGAAATAGTAAACATCAAGGATGCATAAAGCATCAACTACCATCTCAACAAAAGCATCTAGTATTTTCAAGTGCAATTTGAAGGTTGGCTCTAGAAATGAAAAATAAGCCTCTTTTTAGAAATCATGACTAGGATAATTTTTAAATAACCTATTCTGTGAAGACTTTGTAACAGAATTATCAGAAAATTCAACAGAGAGGGGCCATTAAACCAAGAGGAATAGAGGACTATGTACCCATAAGAGGCATGAGTGACAGTCTACTTTTCTGTAGACTTGCTAGTAGAGAAATTTAAGTGCTGAAGAAGACGTGCATATAAGACATGCAAAATATGTGAGTAAAAACAAAAATCTCTTGTATTTCTAAATGTAATTTAAAATTAACTATAGGGGGAAAATCTGATCTCTAGAGAAATATTTTCCTCTATCTGTGTAAATTAGTATGAAAATATTTTTGAACCACAGTCTTGAGAAGCAAACTTTCAAAGGCATTTAGATAAGAGGTATAGACAAAGAAGGTGAGGAATATGTAAATTATGGATATAATAATCCTTATGTGAATAAAATAAATGGAATAAACCAGGACAGATATTTATTTATATATACATATATACATATACATACACATATACTTTTTTTTTTTTTTT